GCCAACAATCAGAACCTGCGAACACGACGACAAGGCGTAGTTCAACTTCAGTCAAGGGAAACAAACGTTATACTGCAGATGTCTAAAGTACTAATCGCGGAGGGACTCGTCTACAACTTACTGAGCGTCAGTCAGCTAATGGCGAAAGGGATTCACCTCGAAGCAGACAGCACCACCCAAGAATTCAAGCTGTATCACGGGAGAGGAGGACTTTACATCGGCAAGGCGGTCCTCAAGAACAACGTCTTCGTTCTTGATTTCGTTCCTGATCTTGGCACCGCCGACAGCGACGCCATCGTTAACTTCACCAACTGGACACACCCTCCAGACCTTGATCCAGACTTCAGTCCAGAAGGCTTCTGGTATTCACACACCACCCCTGAAGCAGAAAGAACAAGGGCGTTAGCAACAATTCAGACAACATCAGCAGCAGCAGAGACAACATCGGCAGCAGCAGAGACAACATCGGCAGTAGCAGAACCATCAACGACAGCAGCAGGAACGTCAACACCAATTGCTGGTCCTTCAACGACACCGCTCCTCATCGACGACACACCACCGACACCCGCGCAACAACTACACCCAGCACCACGAGAAGTTCATCGTAGCGCCAACTTCACCGCCAACTTCTACTCCAACTCCAATATGTACCGACGATCACCCGGACATCGCGCCGACGAAAGCACCTGGCACGCAAGGATGGGACATCCAAGCAACACAGTATTAAACAATACGATAAGAGCAGGAGTACTCGACAAGGACTCACTCCTACTAACCGACGGACGAGAACTTCAACGAGTACGCGGAACGTGCTTCACCTGCCCTGAAGGTGACTTACCACATCGACCGTTTGCGTCTCATCACAACCCGAGCGCACCCGCGTACGCACCACTCGAGAAGGTGTATAGCGACATCCTGTACAATCGGGAACCAGGACAAGTAATATACAACTATACAATCACCTTCATCGACGCCGCCACCCGTTACGTCTGGCACCTAAACCTCCCTAGCCGCGACATGGCATTCGCAGCCTTCGTTGCCTGGCTACCAGTAGCAGAGAGAGAATCGGGCGTGAAACTGAAAAGCTTCCAGTCAGACGGAGGAGGAGAATACACCTCTCAGCGATTCAAGCAGTACCTGGCGGAAAGGGGAATCAAGCGGCTCATCTCCCTTCCCTACGCCCATCAGCAGCAAGGTGTAGCAGAAAGAATGAACAGGACCTTGCAGAACAGCATGCGCAAACTGTTACGTGGCATGCGGCTACCCAACCACCAGTGGCCTGCGGCAATGGACCACGCCGTCATGCTGCACAACTTGCTCTCGTCATCATCGCTTCCAAACAACGCATCACCGCATCTGCTATGGACAGGGAAACAGGGCAGCACAAAAATGTTACGAGTATTCGGATGCATGGTACAGTACCGACCCCCAGCAGCACGAGCGGGCCGATTTTCTCAACGAGCACAGTGGGGACTACACCTGGGAATCGAAAAGAACTACAACGCGTGGAAAATCTTCGACGTCCATTCCAAGGAAATAGTAGCAGCACGTGATGTAATTCTCTACGAACGACTCACGCTCCAGACATACCTTGCCAACCTGCAAGAAGACCAGGATCCCACAGGTGGTTTTCGCGGTGACCGAGCCTTCGCCCCAGCAGCGGACGAAGCTGACTGGGACGAGCAGAATGTGGACAACGCATCAGAAGAAGCCGGACCTCTTCCGTTCTGCTCCGTCGACGTTCCCATGGACGAAGATAACCCTCGCGAAAGTGTCAACGCCGAAACCTTCTACTATTTCGCCGACAACGGTTACGTAACACCTGTGACAGTCAACACCAACGAAGCAGAACGAGTAGGACCCAACTTCATACCTGATCCAGAAGCGGGAGATGAAGCAGCTTATCCCGAGGACGCAAATCTTCCCCGCTACTCACAGAGTGGACTGCAAATTCTCGGACTCGTCACCGCAGTCCTCGGCACCGCCATTCCTAAAGAGCCTGCGACGGTTCAACAGGCTCTGGGGGGGGAGCATAAGGAAAAATGGCGCGAAGCCATGGACAAGGAGCTGAAGGCACTGGAGGAACGCAACACGTGGAAAGTGGTTCCTATCGGCGTGGCACGGAACAAGACAGTGCTCACCGGGAAGTGGGTCTTCCGTGTGAAGACAAAGGCTGACGGCACCATTGACAAATTTAAAGCTCGCTGGGTTGTACGCGGCTTCGACCAAGAACACGGACGCGACTTCACCGAAACTTTCGCTCCGGTTAGCCGCCACACCTCACTACGCATTCTCCTCGCAATCGCCGCCATGAAGAAGAAGAAGCTGCGACAAATTGACGTCGCGAACGCGTTTCTCTACGCACCTGTTGATGCAGAAATTTTCGTCGAGCTACCGCACGGCTCCCACAGAGAACCCAACCAAGTCTGCCAGCTACTCAAGTCACTCTACGGCATCAAGCAGGCTCCGCGACTGTGGCAACAGTACCTGCACGCTCGCCTCATCCGCATCGGCTTCAAGCAACTACCGCACGATCAAGGCATGTACCGGCTCACAAAAAAACGACGACTACATCCTACTAATCGTCTACGTGGACGATCTCCTTTACATCGGCTCAAATGACGGCATCACTACCTGGTTCGAAGGGGAGCTGCAGCGAGATCTCACGCTCACAGTTTCATCTACCGTCACTCAGTACCTCGGCCTCAACATCCGGGAAGAGGAGGACGCGATCTACCTCAGCGCCGAGAAATATGCCGACACCATCGCCAAACGCTTTACGCTCACACCGACAGCCATCTCCACGCCATACCGCTACACGGCAGGGAACGACAAAGGAAGCTCCGCTCTACTCAAGCCCGCCGGCATACGAGACTACCAGAAGAAGCTGGGATGTCTTCTCTTCGCAGCCGTCACCTGTCGCCCCGACCTCTCATACTCCGCAAGCCAGCTCGCCACCTACCTCAAGAAGCCTGAAGCAGAACATCTGGCGGAGCTCGACCGCGCTCTTCACTACTTCGTCAGCACCCCAACGATCGGCCTAACTTACTACAAGAACACAACCACACCGTTAATCGGCTACGTCGACGCTGATCACGCTGGCGACTCCGACAATAGGCGCTCCCACACCGGCTACATCTATCGCCTCGAACCTATCGGACCTATCTCTTGGCAGTCGAGCAAGCAGGAATTAATTGCTCTCTCGTCAGCTGAAGCAGAATATATTGCACTCTGCTCAGCCACCAAGGAAGGACTCTATCTTCGCGAGCTGCTGGAAGAAGCGAAGTTAGCCGAGTTACCCAACTTTACCCTGTTCTGCGACAACCAGTCGGCAATTCGCATCGCCAACAAGAACGGCTTCGCGAACAGGACGAAACACATCGCCCTGCGATATTTCTTCGTGAAGGACGAGATCGAGAAGGGAAGGCTCGAGCTGTCATACTGTCCCACGTCCGAGATGGCAGCTGACTACCTGACCAAGAAGCTCGGAAAGCAGAAGTTCGAATACTGCATGCTGCTGACTGGACAGAGCCACGTCAGCGACACTCCAGAAGCGAAGGGGAGTGTTGGAAACAATCGGTCCTAAGCGCCTCTGTCGTGTCGAAACACTAAGACACAAAAGAAACGAAGTATAACGAATCACCGGCGAGTCAACCCTCGGAGGTTGAAAGTAACTGTTGGAGGTTACGCGAAAGTCAAAGGTCAGCAACCTTTGACCTGACAAAGTACAGCGCGACAGCAAGGACAAACAACTGACTCGGTATTGAGCAGTTGCCCGAGTCGTCACTGTATCGAACCGCAACAGCAATAGTAAAACGGTTATTAACTGTATCTCTTCGTATTCCTTGTACTCCTATAAAATCTTGTATCTCTTTGTTTTAATTAACTTACTTTGCCCTCACATACTAGCGCAAGGTGGTTCACAACTCTTTAATTAACGCTTCCGCTACTACACCAACTCTACCCAGAGTTCACCCCTGCAAAGATCCTAAGGGTTTTTTCAGCCCAACATATTCAATCCACCCCCTCCCTGCCACAAACTAGCCCCGCCAACCAAGGGCTCAATCAAAGTTACTCTTGAGTTGGGACATCTGAATAGGCACCCACTAGGCTCCTCCAGGCTTCCCCCAGCATAGGGATTACACTGCTGAGCGCGGAAAAAAGGAGTTTTGAGGCGCCTCGATACCCAGCATAGGGGTTACACTGCTGAGAGCGGGGCAAGCTAGCACTACCAAGCAAGGCCCCTCTTAGGGGCCTCCTTATAAGGTGTCTCTCTGGTGGTCTAAGACACCTGAGCCTCGTTATAAGGTGTCTGTCTGATGGTACCAAGCCACCTAAGCCTCGTTATAAGATGTATGGCGCTTCAGGCTATGTCAACGCAGTAGGCAGACCCCCAAGGGCCCTGTTATGAAGTGTCTGATGCTTGAAGTGAAACAATGGTGCTGCTACTGGTACTGATGCTTCTGCGACTGCTGCTGCTGCTGCTGCTGCTGCTGCTGCTGCTCCTGAGACTGGAGCTGCTGCTGTTGCCGCTTCTGGTGCTGCTGGTGATACTTCTTCAGTTGCTGTTGCTGCTGCTGCTGCTGCTGCTGCTGCTGTTGTTGATGCGGGTGCCAACTGCTGCTACTGCGACTGCTGCTGCTGTTGCTACTGATACTGATACTGCTGCGGCGGCTGCTGCTGCTCCTGAGCCTGAAACTGCTGCTGCTGTTGCTGCTGCTGCTGCTGCTGGTGGTACTGCTGCTGCTGATCCTGCCACTGCTGCCCTCCCTGGGTCACACCCATATACTCCTGTTGCCCATACTCCCCACCCTGCACCGCCCCTTGCCCAACTTTCTCCTCCTGCCCCTGTCCTTGCAAATACTGCTGCTGTCCCCCCTGCTGCTGCTGCTGCTGCTGCCACCACAAGCCTTCGGCCTCACTTGCAGTTCCCACTCCACCGTTCCCCACCCCTCCACTCCCCACACCGACCCCTTCACTCCCCAACCCCATCCCCACCCCTACGGCTGAACTCTCAACTCCCATAGCCGTTGCTCCTGATGGCATTGCCACCTGTCCCTCCCCGTTTCCTGCTGCACTGCCCACTGCATACGCTGCTGCCTGCTCACCTGCTGCAGCATCGGCACCTGAGGAATCTCCTGGCATAACACCTGCAGCAGCACCTATAGCGGAAGCAGCAGCAGGAGGAGCCTCAACAGGAGCAACAGCAGGAGGAGGAGGAAGAGGAGGAGGCATCCCGATATCAGCATTAGGACTGTCACCAGAATTATTAATAACACTAGCGTCAACAGCAGCAGCAGCAGGAGAGGTACTGGCGTCAGCACCATTCACAGCAGCAGTAACAGGGGTAGGAGCAGCAGCAGGAGCAGTTGCTGCAGCAACAGCAACAGGAGCAGCCGCAGGGGCAGCAGCAGCAGCGGTAGCCACTGTGATGGCAGCGACAGGCGTGGGGGGTGGGGGAGTGATGCTGGAGGCGCGAGAGGCGTCCACATCCATTGCATCTGAGAAGTCCAGTCGACCCAGGCGCCTGGAGGGTTACCATAAGGGAGAGAACAGAGCGGGAGGGGAGGACAGAGTGGACTGGAGTTGACTAGAGTGATACTGGAGGCTCGTGACGCGTCCACATCCATTGCATCTGAGAAGTCCAGTCGACCCAGGCGCCTGGAGGGTTGACATAAGGGAGAGAATCAGAGCAGGCAAGGGGAAGTAGTGAGCACACAGTTGACTAGGGTTGACTAGGGTTGACTATGTTGACAGGGTTTGAGTAAAGTTTACCGGAAATGAGTTAACTATAGATAAGACGAGCTGACTAGAAGTGACTCATCCTCCCTTCCTCACCCATTATCACCCATTCTCCCCCCCTCTCACCTGCTGCTGCTGATGCGCTGGTTGATGGCAGCAATGTGCCTGGAGGGACTGGCAAAGAGGGGACCCTAGCAGCTACCTATCTTTCCCTACTCTACTCCCTCCAACCTCCCTCATCTCTCCCCCCTTTTCTCACCTGCTGCTGCTGATGCGCTGGTTGATGGCCGCAATATGCCTGGAGGGACTGGCGAAGGGGTCAGCGGAAAGGCCCCCTCCCAGCAGCTGCGTGGACAGCTGTGCTGAGAGCTGGCGGTGAGGCGAGGCTAGCAGGGCCTCCATCTGGTGAATGAGGAAGGGGGACAGGGGGAAGGGGGAAGGCGGAAGGGGGAAGAAGAGCAAAGGGGTCAGCAGAGAGCCCCCCTCCCAGCAGCTGCGTGGACAGCTGCGCTGACAGCTGGCGATGAGGCGAGGCCAGAAGGGCCTCCATCTGGTGAATGAGCAGGAAAAGAGGACAGGGGGAACGAGGAAGGGGAAGGGGAAGGAGGAAACGGGAAAGGGGGAAGGGGGAAAGGGGCACAGGGAGGACGGCAAAGGGGTCGGCAGAGAGCTGCGTGGAGAGCTGCGTGGAGAGCTGCGTGGAGAGCTGCGTGGAGAGCTGCGTGGAGAGCTGCGTGGAGAGCTGCGTGGAGAGCTGCGTGGAGAGCTGCGTGGAGAGCTGCGTGGAGAGCTGTGCTGAGAGCTGTGCTGAGAGCTGTGCTGAGAGCTGGCGGTGAGGGGAGGCCGGCGATGAGGGGAGGCCGGCGATGAAGGGAGGCCGGCGATGAGGGGTTCTAGCCTAGAACTAGGGCTTCCATCGGGTGAATGAGCAGGGATGGCGGAGGGACGGGAAAGGAGGTCTGGATACGAACCCTTTCTCGCAGCAGCTGCGTGGATAGCTGCGCTGACAGCTGGCAATGCAAAGAGGCCAGACGGGCCTCCGTCTGGTGAATGGGGAAGCACAGTCACAGGAGGGGCGCGGCAGCAAGGGACCGCCTTTCGTCAGCTATGTGAGTGCTCACCCTAGAAGTTGGCAGCAAGGACACGTAGACATTATGCCGAGGAGACACGCTGCGGGGGGGAGCACCCGGCACAGGCGAAGGCGACTGATGGTGCTGGTGAAAGTGCGCGGAGCAGAGGACGAGTTCACATCACACAATGCCCGTGCCACAGGCGCTACGTGTGTGCTTTGCTTACCCTAGAGGTGGGCAGAGGGGACACGTATACGTTATGCCGAGAGGACACACGGCGGGGAGAGGCACCCGGCACAGATGACGGCGACTGCTGGTGCTGCTGAAAGTGTCGAACTGGCCCCGACTACAGAGAGCATAAGGTAGTCGGAGCATAAGGTAGTCGGAGCATAAGGTAGTCGGAGCATAAGGTAGTCGGAGCATAAGGTAGTCGGAGCATAAGGTAGTCGGAGCATAAGGTAGTCGGAGCATAAGGTAGTCGGAGCATAAGGTAGTCGGAGCATAAGGTAGTCGGAGCATAAGGTAGTCGGAGCATAAGGTAGTCGGAGCATAAGGTAGTCGGAGCATAAGGTAGTCGGAGCATAAGGTAGTCGGAGCATAAGGTAGTCGGAGCATAAGGTAGTCGGAGCATAAGGTAGTCGGAGCATAAGGTAGTCGGAGCATAAGGTAGTCGGAGCATAAGGTAGTCGGAGCATAAGGTAGTCGGAGCATAAGGTAGTCGGAGCATAAGGTAGTCGGAGCATAAGGTAGTCGGAGCATAAGGTAGTCGGAGCATAAGGTAGTCGGAGCATAAGGTAGTCGGAGCATAAGGTAGTCGGAGCATAAGGTAGTCGGAGCATAAGGTAGTCGGAGCATAAGGTAGTCGGAGCATAAGGTAGTCGGAGCATAAGGTAGTCGGAGCATAAGGTAGTCGGAGCATAAGGTAGTCGGAGCATAAGGTAGTCGGAGCATAAGGTAGTCGGAGCATAAGGTAGTCGGAGCATAAGGTAGTCGGAGCATAAGGTAGTCGGAGCATAAGGTAGTCGGAGCATAAGGTAGTCGGAGCATAAGGTAGTCGGAGCATAAGGTAGTCGGAGCATAAGGTAGTCGGAGCATAAGGTAGTCGGGGCATAAGGTAGTCGGGGCATAAGGTAGTCGGGGCATAAGGTAGTCGGAGCATAAGGTAGTCGGAGCATAAGGTAGTCGGGGCATAAGGTAGTCGGGGCATAAGGTAGTCGGGGCATAAGGTAGTCGGGGCATAAGGTAGTCGGGGCATAAGGTAGTCGGGGCATAAGGTAGTCGGGGCATAAGGTAGTCGGAGCATAAGGTAGTCGGAGCATAAGGTAGTCGGAGCATAAGGTAGTCGGAGCATAAGGTAGTCGGAGCATAAGGTAGTCGGAGCATAAGGTAGTCGGAGCATAAGGTAGTCGGGGCATAAGGTAGTCGGGGCATAAGGTAGTCGGGGCATAAGGTAGTCGGGGCATAAGGTAGTCGGGGCATAAGGTAGTCGGGGCATAAGGTAGTCGGGGCATAAGGTAGTCAGGGCATAAGGTAGTCGGGGTGACTTACCCTGGAAGTCGGAAGCGGCGAGACGTAGACGTCGTGCCGTGAGGACACCCGGCGAGGGGACGCCCCTGGCACAGATGAAGTGCTTAACTTGACCAGTGCACCGCACAGAATGCATACAGGCGCGCTATGTGTGACTCACCCTAGAGGTGGGCAGTGGCGAGACGTAGACGTTGTGCCGTGAGGACACCCGGCGAGGGGACGCCCCTGGCACAGATGAAGTGCTTAACTTGACCAGTGCACCGCACAGAATGCATACAGGCGCGCTATGTGTGACTCACCCTAGAGGTGGGCAGTGGCGAGACGTAGACGTTGTGCCGTGAGGACACCCGGCGAGGGGACGCCCCTGGCACAGATGAAGTGCTTAACTTGACCAGTGCACCGCACAGAATGCATACAGGCGCGCTATGTGTGACTCACCCTAGAGGTGGGCAGTGGCGAGACGTAGACGTTGTGCCGTGAGGACACCCGGCGAGGGGACGCCCCTGGCACAGATGAAGTGCTTAACTTGACCAGTGCACCGCACAGAATGCATACAGGCGTGCTATGTGTGACTCACCCTAGAGGTGGGCAGTGGCGAGACGTAGACGTTGTGCCGTGAGGACACCCGGCGAGGGGACGCCCCTGGCACAGATGAAGTGCTTAACTTGACCAGTGCACCGCACAGAATGCATACAGGCGCGCTATGTGTGACTCACCCTAGAGGTGGGCAGTGGCGAGACGTAGACGTTGTGCCGTGAGGACACCCGGCGAGGGGACGCCCCTGGCACAGATGAAGTGCTTAACTTGACCAGTGCACCGCACAGAATGCATACAGGCGTGCTATGTGTGACTCACCCTAGAGGTGGGCAGTGGCGAGACGTAGACGTTGTGCCGTGAGGACACCCGGCGAGGGGACGCCCCTGGCACAGATGAAGTGCTTAACTTGACCAGTGCACCGCACAGAATGCATACAGGCGCGCTATGTGTGACTCACCCTAGAGGTGGGCAGTGGCGAGACGTAGACGTTGTGCCGTGAGGACACCCGGCGAGGGGACGCCCCTGGCACAGATGAAGGCGACTGCTGGTGCTGCTGAAAGTGCGCCAGAGCCGGGGACGAGTGCACCAGGGGACTCCTGAACATGCTCCCCCCGTGCCCCCCGCCCCTCTCCCCCGCTCCTCCTCCTGCTCCCCCTGCTGTGGAGGCGCCATGACCGAGGTGCAGCAGGAAGGACTTGGTAGCCGGGACGAATATCTCGTTGTAGAACCGAATGATGTCTCCGTGCTGGGGGATGGGCTGGTGGGGATTGGGTGTGGGGGCATGAGAGGGTAGAGAGAGTGGAGGGAGGAGAGTGAGTGAGGAAGGTTCAGGGTTCAGTGGTGCAGCAGGAAGGACTTGGTAGCCGGGACGGATATCTCGTTGTAGAATCGGATGATGTCTCCGTGCTGGGGGATGGGCTGGTGGGGATGGGGTGGAGTGGGGGCATGGAAGCACACGCGGGGCAGGGTAAGGTGTGGGGAGCACGAGGTGTGGGGAACAGAGGCTTTTCCCCTATCCGCCCAAGACCTCTCCGTGCAAATCTGCACCAATCCCGCACACTTATACTTGAGAAGCCTATGAAAACGACCACTCTTCACCACTCTGCACATATCTCACGCACATCCACCCCCAGACCCCCCTGCACCGCTCTGCACCCATCCAACGCACCTCCTTGGAGGCAGAGTCAGCAGGGGGTGGCTTGGCGTCAATGAACACGTTTCTGAAGACCGAAGGCTTGCAGTGCGGTAACTTGCGGTACTGCGCGATTATGTCCTTGAACGTGACTGCCACTTGTGACACCTGTGTGAAAGGAGGTGAGAAAGGTGGGCGGGAAGGGGACGAGGGGGTAGGATAGGGGATGTTGAGAGAACTGAAGAGGCAGTGCTTTGCAGTGCGGTGGCTTACGGTTCTGTGCGCCTGGCATAGATACAGAGACGCTTCTTCCATCCCACACATGCACACCCACCTTGCAGTAGATGGAGAATCCCCAGAGACACAATTTCTCATTCCCTCCTAGAGAGAGATACCCCTCCACCCTTCCCACACCCACCTTGCAGACGCAGTAGGTGGAGGAGAGGATGATTTGGTCGAGTCGAGGTGGCGGCAGAAGAGCGTGTGAGAGCAAGAGAGCTACCTAGTGGCCAAGCCAAGTAAAAGATAGCTGGACGAAAGGCAGAGAGAAGCTACGTCCCTCAAATGCCCTCCCACCTTGCAAACGCAATAGACAAAGGAGAGTATGATTCGGTCGAGGTGGTGGCAGAACAGCAGCTGCACCTCGCCCTCCACGGCAGTCTCCACCACTTACTTGTCTCATTCGCTCTTTCTTTCTATATCCCCGTGCCTTTCCCCCCAAGGGAGAGAGAGGCACCCACCTTGCAGACGCCGTAGACGGAGGAGAGGATGATTTGGTCGAGGTGGCGGCAGAAGAGCAGCTGCACCTCGCCCTCCACGGCATGCTCCACCACTCGAAACACCATCTCCGACACCGCTGCTGTCAATCTCAGGCGCTCACACAGACTGCGCACTCTCACCACCGCTAGCTTGAGGACCTGTTGTTGGAGGGAGGGCAGCAGATGGCGTTTAAGAGAGGTATGAGGGGCAGGCAAGGGGCGGCGCTCGCACAGGCTGCGCACTCGCACCACTGCCAGCTTGAGGACCTGTGTGGTGGTGGTGGGGAGCAAAAGGGAGGGAGAGAAGGTCAAGAGAGAAGGGACGGAGGGAGGGAAGGAAATGTGCTCGCACAGGCTGCGCACTCTCACCACTGCCAGCTTGAGGACCTGTGTGGTGGTGGGAGGGAGTAAAAACAGTGGGTCTTGAATCTTGGAAAAAAAAAACCTTTCATTTTTATGACTTCTGAGCGAAGCTGTGGCCAAGAGGCAAGCAACGGTGGTTCTTTACCTTTTGATGACGAGTCTGGGGGTTTTAGAGACTCAAAAGGCAAAGAAATGGTGGGTCTCACCTTTTGACAGAACAGCATTTCGGATCGACACTACCCCGGTGGCGCTGCTGCTGCCGATGAGCCTACTCTGTACGACAGTCATTGCTTTATTCTAAGCAGCTCAGCAGTGGTGGGTTGTGTCTCACTCACCTTTTGGCAGAACTGGTTGAACAGCATTTCGGATCGACTCTCCCCCGGTGGCGCTGTTGCCGCCGACGAGCCTACTCTGTACGACAGTCATTGTTTTATTCTAAGCAGCTCAGCAGTGGTGGGTTGTGTCTCGCTCACCTTTTGGCAGAACTGGTTGAACAGCATTTCGGATCGACTCTCCCCCGGTGGCGCTGCTGCTGCCGACGCCCGCTGGAAGGGACTGGTGGGTCGACAGCCCGTGAAGAGTCGGGGAAGGGGGGGAGGGGAGGGGAGAGAGGGGAGGAAATGGGGCGTGGGGTTGGGAAGAGTGCGGGAGTGCGAGATTGCGGTGAAGCCAAGGTCCCATAGATGCTGCTGCTGACGCCCGCTGGAAGGGACTGCGGGTGGGTTCAAAGGAAGGGGGGGTTGAGGGAGGGAGGGGGAGGGGTGGGCTTAGAACTGGGCAAGTATTTGAGGGACGAGAGCTGAGCTGAGCTGGCGAGGTACCTTGGACTCGGATACCACCGCTAGCTTGAGGATGTGCAATCCGCTAGTTTTTATACAATCCGCTAGCTGGCGAGGTACCTTGGATTGTGCCTGAGTCCAAGCATCTGCCTGCCTGATACAATCCAGGCATATCATTACCTTGGGTTGTTCTGTTGCGGTGCTCAGATCGAAAAGTCACCGCCACAGAACAACCCAAGCCTGCAGGTGAACCTGTAAAGGTGGCATGCAGGTGAACCTGTAAAGGTGGCATGCAGGTGAACCTGTAAAGGTGGCATGCAGGTGAACCTGTAAAGGTGGCCTGCAGGTGAACCTGTAAAGGTGGCATGCAGGTGAACCTGTTTCCCCCCCTCCCTCGTGTGCTCTGTGAGCATAGCATAGCAACAAAGCAGGTACAACCCTAACAACTCACGTGGTGAAGGAGGAGTGCAGGTGCGCGAATTCCCGCTTGTTCTGCGGCTTCATGGGGGAGGGTTGGGCTGCACGTGCCCCTGCTGCACAGCCACTAGCTAGGTGCGTGGTACACAGCATGACATCTCACAACACCAGAACCACAGCACCACCAGAACTCACGTGGTGAAGGAGGAGTGCAGGTGTGCGAACTCCCGCTTGTTCTGTGGCTTCATGGGGGAGAATGCAGGGAAGGACGCCTGGGCTGGCGGGGAGGCTGCTGGGAGGGAGGGATGAGAGAGGTGGGATGGTGAGGCGGGATAGCATGGTGTGGATGGGGGGGGTAGCATGGTGCGGGATGGGGTGGGATAGCATGGTGCGGGATGGGGTGGGATAGCATGGTGTGGGATGGGGTGGGATAGCATGGTGCGGGACAGAACGGCTGAAGTACAGAAACAGTGTGAATGAAGTAATCAGGGAAAAGTCGTGCTTGTTTTCATTTCACAAGATATCTCACAATGTCACAATATCTCACCTTCATCACTCCCCTTGCTCTCCGGCGTGCCATCCCCCTTCTCCCCGTCCCCGCCACCCCCCTTCCCTCCCGCTCCTCTCCCCACCAGCCTTCCCACCAACCCCTCCTCCCCTTCCGGCAGCAGCTGAAGCCTCCTAACCTCCGCCAGCAAATGCCGCCTCGCCACCACCACAGTCACATACAGACTCGACCCTTTCTCCCAGGCCAGACTCTCCAGTATCCGCTCATCACACGCGTTCAGGTGCCGCTTCAGCTCCCCTGGAAGCCCCTCTTCATACCGCACAAACCCCTCCATAACCTTATCCATATCAAATGCCGACACTCCCGCCGGGGCCAGCACAGCAGGGAAAGCGTGAGCCGTCGCTTTGTGGCTGGCTAGAACGAGTTCGGCTGAGCAGGCGAGGAGCGCGCGGTGGAACCGATCGTTATCGAGGAGTGGAGTGAGGTTCTGTGAGTTGATGCGGAGGGATTCGGACGTGCACATGCGGAGGAGGACACGGTAGTACAGCTTCACTGTCTCCTGCCTCCTCTGCTCCGCCCATAGCGCCGCCTCTGCCGGCTCGCTCCCCCCTCCCGCTCCCCCTCCGCCTCCCCCTGCTGCGGCATCCCCGTCGGCCTGCTTCCCAGCGTCACCTGCTCCTGCTCCTGCTCCCGTTCCGTTCTTCTCTCCTCCTGCCTCTCCCGCCGCTCCCTTCCCCCCTCCTCCCCCGGCCGCCCCTGCTGCTGCAGCAGCAGCGGCAGCTCGTTTCTTCTGGGAGACAGCAGAGAAGATCTCATGCGAAACCAGGGTGGTTCTGGTTACCACAGCGCCCGTTACATCCTTGTCGCACGCGTGCAAAAACCGCAGCAGATCCAATGAAGGCTCAGCAGGGGAAGCAGACACTACGGTTCTCAACCAATGAGCTGTCGACATGGCAGCAGAGATAGGGGTCTGGGGAACCCCCATCCCCCCTCCGCCTCCCCCTCCCCCTGCCCCGGTTCCCCCTGTCCCCCCCATTCCCCCTGGGACCAGACGGGTGAGGAAGGAGCGGGCGGGGGAGCAGAAGGGGGCGATGGTGATGGTGGTGCTCCCCCCTCCGCGCCCCTCCCCCCCTGCGCCTCCCCCTGCGCCCATGGCGCTGGCGAAGGGGGAGGAAGGGGCGTTCATTGCGCCTGTGGGGGCGCTCTTCATGGGGGAAGGGGGAGGCATGGAACGCTGCACAGGGAGATAAGGGAGGGGAGGGGGACAGGGGGGGGGGCAAGGGGAAGGGGGAGGAGGGGGTGTTCATTGCGCCTGTGGGGGCGCTCTTGAGGGGGGAAGGGGGAGGCATGGAGCGCTGCACAGGGGGATAGGGGGAAAGGGAGGGGGAGGGGGAGGGGGAGGGGGAGGGGGAGGGGGAGGGGGAGGGGGAGGGGGGAGGGGGAGGAGGCAGGGGGGAGGACAGACGGGGCGGAGCCAGGCAGGGCGACGGGAGAATGGAAGTGGGAAACGAAACAGAAAGTGATTATGAGGATATGCAGCTGATTTAAACGCTTATATGCAGAAACCCAATGACCTAGCCATTTGGGTGAGCTAAACTCAAAGGTGATAGAGCTGCCAACGACAAACGCCACAGACCACAGTGGAAGGGAAAGTGGCCACCCAACACCATTCCGTACCACTCAATACCACCCAATACCACTCCAGCACCTCCAACAACTCTCAGCACTGCTCACCTGAAGGCGCCAACGGTGGAGGCAGCAGTGAGCTGCGAGACGGCCCCAATGACCTGCCTATCTCCCGACAGCATTTGGTGGCAGACCCCACTCTGAGCCACACAGTACCGTTCAGTACCACTCACCTTGGCGGCAGCAACAGAAGTGGCGGCAGTGAGCTGGGATACAGCCCCAATGACCTGCCCATCCCCCGACAGAAACATCCGCTCATCCAGCGCCCTGTCCCCCGCCTCCAACCCCACCACCAGGTGCACACTCGACAGTGGTACCGCTCAGCACCGTTCAGCACCACTTACCTTGGCAGAAGTGGCAGCAGTGAGCTGCGAGACAGCCCCAATGACCTGCCCATCCCCCGACAGAAACATCCTCTCGTCCAGCGCCCTGTCCCCCGCCTCCACATACGCCTCCTGGTACGCCCCCTCCACCAGATCCACACTGGGCAGCGCCGCCGCGTCCTGCAGCAACCCCTCAAACAGAAACAGCCGGTCGGGGCAGAGCTCCCCCGCGTCGTGCTGCTCGCAGGATGCTGGGGCTGCCTGGCGCGCGAGGCAGCGGGCCATGAGCTGCTGGGTGCGGTCCAGGAGAGCGGAGACCTCCCCCTCTGCTGCCTTGTAGCTCGCACACAGCGACCCCACCACGTCCACTAGCCTCTCCCTCCCTGCTCGGCGCGCTGTGTGGTGTGGGGGAGGGGAGCATGGAGAGCTCGGACAGCTGTGAGTGAGACAGCAACAAAAAATCATGGGGGGAAGGGGAGGATCAGAAATTTACGGAGACTGCTCGTACACATTTTCTTTTACTTGTTCCATAAAAGAATCGTCTCTCCACTTGCTAGATCTGAAGCTTAATCTACTGTAAGACTTACCAAATGTGAGGCGTTTTGCAGAGTCCAGAGATGGGGAATCTGACACTTACAGAATCTGACAGGGTCTGAGAAGGAGAATCGGCGGAGAGACGGGGGAACGTGCACTATCAGCACCACCTGGCACAAAAAGTCGAATGGAGGTGGGGAGAAGAAGGGGGCAGGGTTTTGAGATGTCTCAAAACTCAATGGGGGAACGTGCACTATCAGCACCACCTGGCACGAAAAGTGGAAAGGGTGGCGGATGGGGGAGGGAGGGGTTGGGGGATGGGGGAGGGAGGGGGTGGGGGGAGGGGTTTTGAGACATCTCAAAACTCGATGGGGGAATGTGGACTTTCAATAGCACCCGATGCAAAGCAAAGGAGGGCGGGAAGGAGAAAAGCAGTGGGGTGAATGGGGAGCACAAAGAGGTGGAAAGCGGTGCAAATGGAGCCCAAAGAAACGGTTGAAAGGACCGTGCAAAGGGGGTGACGGTGCGGCGAGATGGTGAAGCAGAGGGCGGATTACAACAGGATCGGGGGAAGAGGGGGGGCCAGGGCGTGTGGGGAAAGGGAGAGAACAGGAAGACTCTCACAATGCATGACCAAAGCTGGTGCAGCACCAGCCATGTGCACTGTGCCTTGTGCCCTGCGCCCTGCGCCCTGCGTCCTGTGCCCCGTGCCACATGCCCTGTGCCCGGTAACCTGTGCCCTGTGCCCGGCAACATGTGCCCCGTGCCATGTGCCCCGTGCCATGTGTCATGTGCCACGCTCTCTACAGTCACCACCATGTGCCATGCGCCATGTGCCATGCGCCATGTGCCATGCACTCAGTCACTCACAAGTGTGCACAGCATTGCGTTTGTCGCGGTGACAAGATCCGGGAACCTTCTGAGAAGGTGCGCCTTGATGGAGAGGAACAACAGCCAGCCGAAGCGCATCTCGCGGGAGAATTGGGAGGCGGCTGCGGCGGCAGGAGGAGCAGGTGCGCCCGAAGGGAGGGACGGCGGGGGAGAGCTGATGAAGAGCTCTGCGAAAACCTTTTTGTAGTGGCTGGGGGTGGGGAAGGGGCGAGGGGGGAGGGGCAGGGCTGGGGGGTTTGAAGGGGGGGACAAGGAAGAGAGGAACAGCAGGCAGCCGAAACGCATTTCCCGGGAGAATTGGGAGGCCGCAGCAGCAGCAGCGGCGGCGGCGGCGGCGGCGGCGGGAGGAGGCGCGCCCGGAGGGCGGGGGAGAGGAGATGAAGAGCTGTGCAAACACCTTGTTGTAGTGGCTGGCGGGTGGAGGTTGGGGGGGAAAGCGGGAGAAGCGGGGACAGCGGGGGAAGGGAGAGGAGATGAAGAGCTGTGCAAACACCTTGTTGTAGTGGCTGGCGGGTGGGTGGGGGGAAGTGGGAGAGGGTGAGAGAAAAAGGGGAAGGGGGAGAGAGACGGAGGAACGGCGAATGAGGAACAGGGGAAGGGGAATCAAAGGGGGGGATCGCGAGAGCTCTTGAATACTTGTTGTATGCATTGCAGCAAAACAATGAGCACGATAACATTGAGCTTTAAGATTGCTCAGAGGAACGAGAGGGGCACTCACTTGAAGAGCACGATTGCATGCACGAAGTTGGCTTGAAGCTCCTTCACCTGACGGGCGAGGAATGAGAGGGAGCGGCGAGGAGGGAGAGGGAGGGGCGAGGAGAGAGAGGGAGGGGCGAGGAGAGAGAGGGAGGGGCGAGGAGAGAGAGGGAGGGGCGAGGAGAGAGAAGGAGGGGCGAGGAGAGAGAGAGGGGGGCGCAGGAAAGTGGCAATCAGGAAGCACGATTGCATGCACGAAGTTGGCTTGAAGCTCCTTCACCTGGAGGGCGAGGTGAGGAGCGACAGTGGCGAGGAGAGAGAGGGAGGGGCAAGGGAAGGGGGCAAGGGGAGGGGGCTCTCTCCTCTAAACGAGAGCCGTGGTTGCGAGGCGGACGAGAGGAAGAGGATCAAATCAAAGAAACGTCAGGGAGAGGATCGGAAGCAGGAAATCGAAATAGAAATCGGGTGCGAGACATGAGATACCACAAGCAGAAGTCATCTCGGGATGACAGCACAGCACATGCCTCAAGCCTCTAAATTTTTTTCGAACTGTAGGAGATCTCTCGCTATGACAGCACAGCACATACCTCGAGCCTCTGCTCCCACAAGTCCCCATACGCCGCCTGCATCACAGGACTGACACGTGGCAGGAAGTTGGCGATCTCCTTGAAGAAATCCACCACTCTGAACATGCCACGTGGGTGTGGTGCAGGGTGTGTGTGGGAAAGATGGTGGGGGATGGGGCATGGGAGGTTGGGATTGGGAGAAGAAGAGTTTGGGGGACGTTGCAATGCCACGCCATGCCATGCCATGCCATGCCATGCAATGCCACGCCATGCCTTGCCACGCCATGCCATGATGCCATACCGGGTCACCACACACCCTCGTGTGCAAGCAACTCACGTCAGCTTGGTGGCGCGCAGCAGCTCCGACAGAGTGAACCACGGCCACTGCGACCGCGAGGACCCGGGCAGCGCGATTTGTCCTGCTCTGGCGGCCGCCTCCTCTGCTGCTTTCGCAGGGCCTAGCTTGCGCACCACGAACAGCACGCACGCGCTCCAGGCGCGCTCGCTGTCGTCCGGGGACTGAGAGAGAGATGGGGGAGTGGGAAGATGGGGGGTTAGGAAAATGGGGGGTTGGGATCAGGGGATATGTACGAAATGCCTAGCTTGCGCACCACGAGCAGCACACACGCGCTCCACGCGCGCTCACTGTCGTCCGGGGACTGGGGGAGATGGGTTGAAGAGTCGGAACATACGCGCACAAACTAATGTGAGGCTCCACGCACGGCTGCGGCGACGGTGCAGATGAGCTACGAAAAAGACGGACAAGCTGACAGACAGACGGATGAATGACGGCCGGACGGATGGGCGGGAATTGGGGGTAGGGATGGACGGACGGACGGGCGGACAGGGGAACAGAGGTACGACCGGACGAGTGGGCGGGCGGACGGGGAACGGACGGACGGACAGAAGAACGGATTGACGAGGGGACGCACGTCGGGTGCGCCGAAGGAAGCGAGGGAGGGCGCGAGGAGCGCGTAACAGGCGGAGAAGACTTTTAAGACGCCTCAAATGCCTCTTCTCGACTGCTGCTCGCCAAGTCTACCTGGCTGAACGGGCGGAGGACGCACCTCGGGAGCGCCGAAGGAAGCGAGGGAGGGCGCGAGGAGCGCGTAGCAGGCGGAGAAGAGCTCCATGGCCTGCTGCTGCATCGCGCCGTCCATGCGCAGATGGGTCTGCGCGCATGGGGGGAATGTGGAGAGCGCAGGGGGAAGCCGGGCACGGGGAAAGCGGAGGGCACAGGGGGGAGAGCACACGGGGAAGGAAGAGGATGAGTTGGGCTAATGGATGGAAGGCGGAGAAGAGCTCCATTCCCTGCTGCTGCATCGCGCCATCCATGCGCAGATGGGTCTGGAACGCGGGGAAAGGGGGGAGCGCACGGGGGAAATCAACTAGTTCGGCTGATTGATGGAAGGCGGAAAAGAGATTCATGAACTGCTGCTGCATTGCACCGTCCATGCGCAGCCGAGTCTGGACGCATGGGGGAGGCGCGCGGAAGGGCATATGGGGGAGCGGATGGCGCAGGCGGGAGCTGGCTGTCCATGCAATGGATCTGCGCGCATCAGGGGAGCCTGAAGAAGAGGGTGGGGAAGGAAATGATACCCCTTGCCTTTGTGACTAACTGTCCACTGTCTCGTCACAATCACTCGTCATTTCTACAGTCTCCTTGCACTCTGAAATAATCGCGTCGACCCTCATTGTAATCACACCCCGTCTCTACCCCTGATATAGTCACATTTGCAGAGGCTCACCGTAATCAGGTCTCTAAACCGCTCCCGCCACGCATCTGGAAGGCTGACAGCTTGAGAGGTTTTCCCCACGATATAATCACCACCCGCACCCTGCGCATCGGTAGGGCTCTGGGCCGCCGTCATCGCAGCGTCCATTTCGCCGGTTTGCGAGCTTCGCGTGGCGTCGAACGCTCGCTCGCAGCACCGGTTGCCGTCGCACGTCGCGCGTCGACCGCTTAGCCGTTCGCACTACCGGTTGGCCGCTTAGCCGATCCTTTGGAGAACCAGGCGGGCTTCAGATGCACCAGCACACTAAAACCAACAGTAATGAGTCGTGCGCACAAGATGCAGCAGCAGGAGAGTAAAAGATGTCGGAAGACAAGAAGAGATTCTGAACTGGCGAAGTGTACGCGCACTGATTCTGAACGATCGGAACCTTGGCGACCGGAGGCTGGGTAAATAGATGCTGCTCGATTGAAATGCTCGACAGCACAGAGCACTTAACACCCCTGAGCGATGCAGCCTAGATTATGAAGCTCGAGTAATGATGACGCTGCCGAGCTGAGAACCAGAACTCGCCTCCCCGTTCCCTCCAACGGCTAGCCTCAGAAGCGTCCGTTTCGGCAAGTTCACGTTTAGCCAGTCACGCGCCGCGAGGGTCTGCCACCATTGCTTTTCAAATACTCTTGGCTATCGGCAGACGACAAAGACCACACGGCCCCTAGACGTACGACGTAGGACGAGTCGTCGATAAAGCCTCCCCCAACTCCTCGCTAACTAGATGTTTCCCGGGACTTGGTTTGACAGCCGAAGTCTCACGACGACTCACAGTTCACGTCGTAAGAGTAACGCATGAATCGTGAGTGGTACATATCCCATAAGGCAATTGAACGGAGGGCGGAGATGGATGGATCCGGTCATGCCGACCCCAATCGACGGTACCGATTTGATGGGGAAAAGGGCAGATGAGACTAGATGGGATGGGAACCTGTAGTCGCAAACTCGCGGAGGGAAGATGTTTTCAAGGGCTACAGTTTTATTTGACCTGCGGTGGTGCTGGGGTAGCATGGCGCGGGAGCAGCGGCTCTCGACTTTCACTTGGACGATGCTGCACCATTCCCCGCTGCGTGAGAAGCGAGTTCCCCCCAACCAGCGACCAGCGGGAAAATGGGCATTTACCTCCGCGGTAACACACATTGGGCTCGACCACCAAATCACAGAGGGAAATGATCAGATTGGGGCCCCGAAGTTCTAGGAATAGAGCCAACTTGGGGCCTCGTGTTTCGCGATGTTTCGAACCTGGTCCGGACCTGTCTCTAACCAATTTCGGGCCTCAACCACGCGCTCCGTCAGACCTGACCACATGACGTGACGGATTTCTGAACGGACAAGCTGGCAAAAAATATAAACCCCATACGGGCATGCATCCGGTCAGGGAGGCATCAACCCTAAACACATCGTCGCATGTTTTTAGGGTTGATGCCTCCCCAGTTTTATGCCATCCAATCGGGTTATAATTTTTTACCACTACGATAATATTTTTGGGCTAAAATGTTTATTTCTGGGTTATTTTGATGAAGTATCTGTACTGCCCCATTGTGAATGGGCTGACGATCACTGCTCCCGTGAACCAGGGTGCTAGCGAAATCCGTCAAGCCCAAGCCAGCAGGTGGTGACGTGGCGAGCTCGGCCTAGCTGCCTAGGCTTGTGGGTGGCTTCGGGTCGCGAATCACGAGGCCCCAAGTTGGCCATCTTTCTGCTAGTCCGAGGCCCCAGTATGATCATTCCCCAATCACAGAATTGGTGGTCCCAAAGCTTTGCGAAAAGAGGTGTTCTTTTACTGACAATAAAACACGTGGGGGAACAACATTGGTGCCTGCTACACCTTCTGATCTTGGCTGTGAAAGCCAGTCAAACACAAGGGCGCCAGGGTGCCTGTCGGAACACAATTTTGTGCGAGTTGACGCACACCCGTTTATTCCATAAGATGGCACATGCAAATATAAAAGGTTAAACCTTTTCTGAAAAGATAAATCTCCTTCGCATTATGATGAGATGCACCAGCATAGAAAGTTCCTCTGAATTCTGTTGAGTACATAGCGCAACGGATGTCCTTACTAGAGGTGGGAGATACTTAGTAATAAGACTAATAAACACACATTCAGGAAGCTACAATTCATTTTTGAACCTTCAAGCAAAAAAAGTTGGACAGAGCTTGAACATGAAGGCCCACAGTACATATATTGTCACGCACTCATATTGGACGGAACTAGTCTAACTCCAAACAACACTGGCCAGTCCTTGACTTCCTCGCTCTCAACCACTCCATTATGTTGGCCAGTACCCTTTTCAAGCCCAAGAACTCTGTCGGAAAGGCCACCAGAAGAGTTATTACGCAACATAGCCACTCGGTGGTGTCGCAGTCGATTCTTCGCAGCCTTGGTGAGCATTGGGCATGAGATAGTAGCAGCCAGGACAGACTGCGGGGAGGATGCAACCACTCGCTTCACCTCCGCAAGCAACCTTGCTCTCTTGCAATCTGGAGTCACAGCCGCCGTCCCAGAACACAAATTCTCCAGTGACTTATCCTCGATCGGCGGACCTTCTCGCGATTGCGGCTGGCTCATACACTCCCTTGCGAGAAAGCTCCGAGCACCACGCGCGCCGCGCAGAGCAGACAATCCTTCCATGGACGCTGGCCGGGGAAAGGCCTTTGTTGGTGCTGTGACTGCTGCGGTGACTGCTGCAGACACCGCTTGAAGGGAATCAGGCTGCTGCAGGGTGAGAGCCTCAGATCCCAGGTCTCCTCGCCCACTGCCATGACTGCTGCTGCTGCTGCTGCACCTGCTGCTCGCGCGACCAGCGTGGTTCAAAAGGTTGTCTCTCAGCCTTCGTTGCAGATCGGATGCTGGCGACGCGCTGCTGCTCGGGGTAACCACCCCTGAAGGTGCAATAGCGGGGACAAAAAGTTGCTGCTCGGATCTCAACATCGCCGTTTGGTTGAGCAAATATGAACTTAGACCGGATAAAACAGGATGTGACTGATCTTTTGTGCAAGTCTTCTCCGAGTTTGTTCCTGAGTGAGTTGGGGTCAAGCTGGCCACTCCACTGCTCCCTGGAGTTTCCGTGAAAATCGGGTCACTTCTGGCGAGACTGACGGCATTTAATCGGGATCGGACAGGGTAAGGCTCGAGCCTCGCCCGGAAAAGGTCGTCGAACGTTTCAGTCCAAGTCCGCTTCTTGGCGACAACGGCGGGAGCAGAAACAGCGGGAGCGGTGGTTGCGATGGATGAGACATTGGAGCCGCTAGTAGGTGAATAGGTATTTTTCATCGAGAATACTTGGTCTCCCGAACGAATCTTACTTTCTGGAACCACAAGCCGCGATGCTAGCATGGCATGAGCGGCTCTCTTGAAGTTGCGAGCGTCTTCCATGGTGGCTGTGGGTGAAAAAATCGAAAATTTCTTGAATCTGCGTGCTCCTAACGTTTCCGTCAAAGGACTTTTCAGGATGGCTCACTCGCGGAAGAGAAATGCGGCGATGCTAGATAAATGGAGAGGAGCGCATCAGCGGAGCTCTGTCGGGTACGACGAAGATGGTCTGTGACGTCGGCAGAATGATCGGGTAGGACGATCCCAAAGTAGAAATGGCGAGTGGCGAACGGATAAACAATCCTTTAATGCGAGTCAATGGATCGCATGTGTAGCGGGTCGACAGTTCAGCACGGCTCACCCCTCACAGCGCACGGCTCGACTCAACTCGATTCCTCGAGTCTCGACTCGGCCCCTTGATTTGATTCCTCGACCTGGATAAGCACGTGGTAGATAACAAGTGCAGCGTTCCGTTGCGACACCACTCTTACACCAGCAGTAGAGAGCTGGCACAGCACGACGAGTCGTTAATTACAGTCTGTCGGGTGTGGTTCAGCAGTGGAGAGGGTTAAAAGCCATGGGTACACTGTAAGAGCATCGCCAAGTTATGGCAATCGGCGTTTTGGAGAACAACGACCACGTCAGATCCGTTGCAGATCGAATGCAAATCGCATCGGATGCTCGCATGCGCTCGCCATCAACACCCTAGCGCAGCACATGCGACGCGACATACTCATACGCAACGGGACAAGTGGAAACGGTACTGTTACGTTGCGAGAAGAAAACGTCAGATCTGTGGGCCCAGAAGCTTCGTTATGGCTCAAAGAGGAAGCTGACTAGGCTCGTCAGGTAGGGTGAGGTAGGAGGAAGGAGGAGGAAGGAAAAAAGGGGGTTGTGCCTGGTGGTTGATTCTGCGGCATGTGCCAACAGCTATTGCGTAGGCGGTTGCCCATGTATTGTCGCGCCCAACTGGAAAGTGAAGGAGCGATCGTCTGCCAACCAACACGGAATGCACGGCCATGGGGAAGATTTTTATAAAGCACGAAGTGGCGTTAGGCCACTAGCACAATAAAGGCCCATTTATGGCTCCCAAAGAGTTCTTTGGAACTTCTCGAGGGAACTCCTCGTTCAGAAATCTCGTTCTCGCAGGAACAAATCCACATCCACAAAACGTTACCATTTTTCCTACTCTCCGCTCAACAAAGTTTCGTGTGGGGTACGTAGTTGTTATCGTGCTGGTGTCGAAGGACATTGAACATTCCGCCCAGAATCAGGAGGCATCTTCTGGACGATGGATCCTGTGCAGGATCGAATGTTTACGGATTTTTAAACGGTTCAAAAGCTTCTGAATGTAGCAAACAGGTTTGGAGTGTGGTGGGAGATCGGTTTTTGAGGATCGATCATACAGAATCGAAAGAGGTGACGGAATCGAAAGAGGTGACACGTCCTCAAGGTGCCAGATGATCTGTTGCGGCCAGAATGCGGATCCCAGTTGACTCCAGGATCGAAACGATCTCCTGAGTAGACGCCCTTTACTACGAACGCCCGTTTATGGAGAACATGTGAGGGGGTGTTGGGGTGTTGGTATCCCATGGGCGGGATGGAGGCCATGGTTGGTTGGGCAGGTGGGTCAGACACACACGGACCATGGGGAACCAGGTATGTTTATGCAGTGAGAAATTTCGACAGTGCTTGGACGGAGTTGCGTCGGGTCAGGGTTGTTGGCGAAGACAAACCTCACAACAGAGCTGCTTCGTCCACTATTTATCTTACCCCACTATATTC